AAATTGTCTTAGACAAATTTTTGCTGTAAAGAACATAGCTCTGGCCATTTCTACGATTGTTCTCATTGACCTTTCCACTTTGCTATGTTGCTGAGGTGTGATGGTAGCCCGTAGGTACACTCGTCCCATGCTTTGATACCAAATTTATCCAATATGGCTTAAACTTCAGCATTTTTATATTCCAGATTACAACCAMCTCTTAAAGAAATTACTGAAACATTCAACTAATTTTTTACTGTATTTAAAAATAGTTCAAATTTATTTTTCACTTTTTATTATGTAGTTATWTAGGGAACTTGCGTCGTATGCTATCTACATGAAAAATGTATCTACTGTTACGTCCCGACTGAACGTCGATTCATACATCAACGTAGAGATGAAATATTGATGTATACAATGTAATAATGTCTTTATTTTCACAATTTATTAAAACTTGATTCAAAAATACAGTTTATATGCTATAAAGGTGTTGGTGAGCGGTGTTACGACCTTACTCTGAAATATTGTTTTAAATGACAATGAGTGGTTTTACGACCTGCCTCTAAGCGTCTTAAATGTCCCTAACCGTCTGGCTCACATTTTAAAAACCGTCTGACGAGCTCTTGTCGTGGTTTCCCTTATATATGCTCGTATCAGTAGGAGTAGGTGGTAGTATGTGGTGGTGAAATCTGGCACAAGGCAGAGTTTGAGTCTCCTGGCGTAATTGGTTATTCTGGTCGATTCACATCCTTTCTTAGTAACAGAGACCTTTTCCGAGAAGAGACGTGTGACAATGGCTTTTATAGTTTAATTATCTAGTCTGGTGTTTTACAATGACCTCGGCATGTTATTTTATGTTAATTGCCTACTTAGTTATATCAACCACTCATAGTAGAAACGTACACTATGTTTTGAATATTGATAGGGTACGTAACACTACCACAATTATTGTTTGTTGGCCTTGTATGTTATCTACAATTTTCCGCCCTGGAAGCTGTAAATTKTAGGTATCGTCTGGGCATCTGGGCATTATTAAATGAAAGAACTTTTTTTCATATCTTCAAAAAACTAGTCAAAAAGGTTCTTGGATGCATTAAGTGAACCACTCTCCCATTAACTGCCATTCCAATAAGTTGGTGGCACCACTTGTTTTTATGCCTATTTTACTTTGACACTTTTTTCCATTTTCGTCAACATAAGTAAAAATTTATTTTGTTTTCTGATGGACTGAAATATTTGGCATCCTTTCTTCTGACAACGTTAACATTTTTCTATAATAATTTTACCTTCTTCATCACTTTTTTGGGTATTCTTCATATATTCCTTAATAGCCCCTCATCCACATACTTTATTATTTGAATTTATTGTTGTCATACTTTAGCAGTGGTCAAAACACCATGTTGTTTTAAAAAATCGTTGCAAGTTTTGTCATTGCAAATAACATGTCTATAAAAGTCAATACAATTTTTCATTTTGATTCGACAAAAAATAATTTAATTACACACCACTTTTACGAGCCAAACCGTAAGTCATGTATCTACTAACTATTATATGTGTAAAGTGTAGGCTGTAGAGTGTATTATAGATGTTTATAATTATACGGTTATACCTGCAATATCAATCTCAGTACAAAGTAGATATCAACCGAAAGGTAGATAACATATATAACGCGACCAAAGTACAGGTAGGTAGCATACAACGCTAGTTCTTTTTTTAGTTTTAATATTACTCGATGTGAATGACTCTGTGTTGTTTACCATAAATACAGCTTTGCAGAAAATTATGTTTTTCGTTTCTGTAAATTGCATCTACATATRTTTCAAGTAGCTCCGACCAAATTCTACATTCCGATGACTTAAAATTGCATACCACTGTAGTAACCTGAGATTTTTAATCGCAACATTTGATTGGCCACCTTGTTGTCATGGTCTTGTTCTCATAACCATTGAAAACATTTACTGGGCGGAGTATCACATTCAAAATCGCACGCGCTCATAACCTGACGTGGTAAGAATATTTTTTGATTGATATAATCATATAATTTTGACTTTATTATTTATTGTGTTTGTTATATTGTTAATAACTTATTATGGCCTAAAAAAGATTCACAAACATATTTATACATTTTTCCATAGTGTCAAAGAAAAACGTGAATAAAAAAGAGAGTATTGACGCTTCATGCAAATATATCGATACATGTATATTATGGCATGCGATGTCATGCGGCTACTGTAGATTTCATTTGATATAAGAAGTAAAAAGTTAATAATTTAAAAATATTAATTATTATCGTTATGCTTAGAATCTATTAAATATAATAAGGATGGCAACGTTATTCTATTATTATTAATAATCTGTTGCTAGGGGCAACCCAACACTCTAACATTAATTTTATCTTTGTTATTGTTTGGTTGTCATGGCAACTCGAAATCTGTCAGAAAAATCGCCACGCATACGGTGACTATGTAATGGTAACGCTCTCGGTGTAGCATACATTTATATAATTATTAATTRCTCCTGACAGAAGACATATCAATTAAATTACACAAATATTAAATGTTTTACTATATGATGACTATTTATAACAGTCGTGTTCTGCATGTACTTAATTGTTATTACTCTTTAACTGTTGATCATAGTAAATTATACTTAAACAAAATTTACTGTATGACAATTCATCTGAACTTATTAAAATATGTTAACATGAATATTTTGTTTTCAACCTGGATACACGAAAATGTTTTTTAATCAATGTTTTGTACAGTTTTYGTTGCCATGGTTAATAATTAACAAAAATGGGTTTATGATTCATAGATTTTTTTGTAAAAGGAAAATGTTGAGTAGTGTGCTGTGATTTTTACGGTAGACCTATTGTAATTTAGATAATATTATACTCTATATAATATCAGTTGAATCATCTTATCGTTCTTAATTTTTAAACTTAAATAAATGAATATACATAGATAGGTATTAACTACCTTATATTTTTATTAGTTAAAATTAGGAAAAATCCAATGTATGATSTCATTTCTGAACCCTACGATGAAGCATTAGTCAGAAAAACTGTTGTGAAAATTAAAAAAAATAATGAGTTTATAAGCCACAAACATTCAACTATCATATTTGAGATAATATATAATTTCTATATTCTAGGCTTTAAACGCGACTTTTTGATGCATGTTTTTACTTCATCTTCCCAAGACGTAACTATATATAATGACAATCATTTATATATTAGGTACAACAAAAATACTTTATTCTACTATAAATATAATATTCTGTAAAATATAACCTTAGCGTAGGTATATGCTTTTTGGTATCGTGACATTCTCATAGGTTTTCGTCATTTTAATGGTTTAAACTTCTATATTGAATAAGTATTATGTTACGAACTTATAGTACGTGTAAACACAATAAACACTGGTGTACCTAATCATAAAGTCATAAATAATTATCTTTTATATATTTAACATTTGTCTTTTTATATTAGTGGATTGATAATTGATGTATTATAAATTGTAGGTCGTTATTGCAATGTAGCTGTTTTATCTTTTTATGCGATTTATACGATCGGCCATGGCATCTATAATATAATTATATTAATTATTATAAGTAGCTATGATAGCTTAATATTTAGTAATCTAGTGAACTTCAACAATCCGAAAGGTGAGTAATATRAGTGTTCTATTATATAGGTATTGAAAAAGTTATCTATCTAGTTCTAGGCATATAATATATTTTTAAGTATCGTAACGTACCAATAGCAGTAATATAGCACTACATAATAAACAGCAGTCTTGTTAAAAATACTTTCAAATTGATTAGAATACGTATTTAAATAGGTACATTATTATAGCATTTGTATTTGAATAGTCTTTAAAATATTTTTAAATTCTTTAGAAGTCCCTA